CTATATACCATCTGAGGATATCCGAATAGCACTTCTTCATAACATCATCATTCACTTTGCAATTGCCTATGATTTCTAAAATATAATTCAAGCACATGGTGGAAAACAAGTGTTTGTCAGACAAAGCAAATAGACATTTCTAAATGTATCCTATTTCTTTCGATCCTCGCTGGAACATCACGCTCCAATTATCTTTCTCAATTCTCCTGAGCTTCATCTTCTCAATGATTTTCTCCGAAGCTTCAGGAAGAACTGTTGGTTTCTTTTGTAGCACCGATGCAATTTCGACATCTATCTTTGCTACCTCGTGGATGTACGAAACCAACATCCTCTTGATATGATCAACAATCGGCTCATACTTATTTTCTTCTTTCATCAAGAGATGCATCAGCATGATCCATTCGTATGGATTTAAACATGGCAAGTCTACGATAGAGAATTCGAAGATGGAATTTGCAGACCCTTGAGTAGTTTTAAATTTGACGTTGACAAAACTCTCGGTTTGTATTGGCCCAATAACCTTGGGAACAATTATTTTCTGTGAACTCCAGATCTGGTATTGCGGCTTGCCATGCTTAAGGGCTTTCTAACACCCTCAGCAAAGTTCGAAGCATTCACAACTACCTCAAAGTTTGAAACAAAAATGCTTTCGGGGTGATGGGGAAATCCAGTTACGAGTCCATAGTGCTTTGTATGTCAAAGGAAGTAACTGAATCTATCCAGTGAATGCTCGGAGTTTCAATTGCTTCTGTTAAAATTTTCTCTATAGACCATGGAGGAAATAACATATTTTTGGCTTCAAGATTTGTTTGAGCATCACAAAGCTCTTTCTCATTTTTTTCTGCTTCTTTTGCGATTCGCAAATTTTCATCAATGATAGCATCTCGTGCTTTTCGCTTGAGCATCACACTTTTATCTTCCTCTTCCTTTTCATCATCATCTATAACTTTATCCCCCAGTTGGCTTTTCAGCATCAGAAGATTTTCCTTTTCCTTGTTCTTGTTCTCCCTCTCGTTTTGGAGGGATAACTGTCTTCAAAACACCCTTGAGTTTGTTTAGCATTGTGAACACTGGCCTAAGTTTTTAAACCAAGTGCTTCCTGACAGTGATCGTGATCAGAGAGTCACGAGTCTTAATTATATATGAGAGCAAGGAATTCACGTTGGATATACAAATCTCCATTATAGATTTTTTAGATAAAAGATCTTCAATACGCTTGTTATCATGGTTGAGCTTGACGGATAAACCTGTACCTTTTCTATTTTGACTGCGAGCTCATCCATGATTTTATTTTCCATAGCCAAGTCTTCATGGTGTTTGTCAATATTGGAAGAGAGGGAGGTTTGAAACTCTAAATTGGCTGACTGAATACTGCTGCGAACTTGCTCAAGAGTATCTTTCTCGGTTCTAAGGGTAGATCCGAGATTGGTGATAATTGCATTTGCTTTCATAGTATTTGTTTTGAAAGATGTCTGAAAAGTGATCATGAAAGATTAACCATTAGAGCTTAGTTTATCGACTTTTTTGGTTATTTCCTTGCAAGGGTGGTTGAATCTTCAACTATTGTGTTGGTTTTTTCGAGATTCGCAGTGTGTTCCTTGGTGAGGGTCTCAAGAAAAGATTTGATTATTGCCTGTGAGTAATCATCGCTGGTTGAGGTTTTGGAGGATTAAAGCAGCGAATCCAGCTTCTCATTAATGGCCTTGAGTTGCTTTTTAGTGACAGGAGCATCATCATCACTGTCTTCTCTAATTGTGAAAGGATCAAATGTGAAGGCTTCAAAATCACCAACACCCCTAAACACAGTATCTAGATCGTCTTGTCAGAGAGGTGAGATGGGTGTTGATTCATGACCAAAAATGAAACTGTAACATCCGAAATTGCGAGTATGCTATTTTAATTATTTAATCATTAATTTTCAGAGTTATTGGAGGGACTCGATGAGTTGGTGACTCAGCTCATCGAGTAGGGTCGTAACTTTTGACGCGTTTTAGCGATTGGACTCGACGAGTCGGGTATCTAACTCGACGAGTCTATACTGATGAGGAAACCCTAATTTCTCGAGTTTAGGACCTATTTAAAGGTCCTTATGGCCTTCATTTGCGGCTACTTACACCCTTAAGAAACCCTAGAGAGCGAATAGAGTTTAGAGAGCAAGGGAAAGGCTAATTCATCATCCCTTTGGTGTGTTCTTGCAAGAAGGAGTAGAAAGTCCAAGCTAGATCGATTGTGGAGCTTGGATCTGTATTATTCATACTGAGATTCATTTCTGGAGGTACAAATCCTTTACAATTTCGTGTATTTGATAGATTTCTTGAATCTAGGGTTTCTTTGCATCATTTTGAGTTGGATTATGAAGCATGTGATGTCCCAAGGTGGTGTAGATGTTGGATCTGGACCTTGAGAGGTCCAAAAAGTCCCAACATTCCAACTTTATGCTATTTTATGAGATTTTTGAGAGTAGGTTACCATTTTGAAGGTTATTTCTCCATTTATGGCTTTGTGTGTGTTGCATGAACGTAAACTTTGAACCTTTACGTGACTTTTGAGTGCTAGAAGGTTAGATCTATTAGTTAGAGAAGCAGATTTGACCTCCAAAAGGTCGTTTGAGTGTTGCCATGGAAGGAACTCGTCGAGTCCATAAGGGGAGTCGACGAGTCGAGTCGAGTTGCCCCGCCATTCATGACCAGTGGTAACCCGTCGAGTGGAAGGTTCACTCGACGAGTCGAGTAAGGTTTAGAAAGATCTAGAGGACACGCTTCAACTCGTCGAGTCACCTATGTGCACTAGACGAGTTTGGTTAAAGTTTGACCATTGACTACATTTGACTTTCGTTCACTTTTAGGGTTAGGTCAACACTCGAACTTTCGGACCATTAGAAGGGTAAAATGGTCTTTTAGCCTTCTGAGAGCACATTGGAATGGACTAGTCTAGCTTGGAGAGCCGTTATTGATTTGAGATGATTGCTTATGTGTTTAGGCGGGGCTAGATCACTGTTACGAGGATCAGGGATACCGAGCACGTGAGTTACTATACAGTATACGAGGTGAGTCTTCTCACTATACTTTACCTAGAGTGGTAACTATGTGTGATAGGAAGGTCTTATATGAGATGTGTAGTATGTGATATGTGTTGCTTTGTGATATGTATGTGTTATGCTATGTTATGAGTACCATGATATGGACTGGAAGGTCAACAGTGTATGGACCGGAAGGTCTAGATGATGAGGACCGGAAGGTCATACGAGTAGGGTCGGAAGGTCTACCATAGTTGGGATAGAAGTCCCTTGAGACACATGGATCGGAAGATCCCATGGAGTTATGGCCTTGAGTGGCGCATGTGTTGTATGTGGTATTTTGGGGAACTCACTAAGCATTTATGCTTAAAGTGTTATGTGTTATGTGTTTCAAGTACCAGCGGCTTTTGAGTGCTAGAAGGTTAGATCGATTAGTTAGAGAAGCAGATTTGACCTCCAAAAGGTCGTTTGAGTGTTGCCATGGAAGGAACTCGCCGAGTCCATAAGGGGAGTCGACGAGTCGAGTCGAGTTGCCCCGCGATTCATGACCAGTGGTAACCCGTCGAGTAGAAGCTTCACTCGACGAGTCGAGTAAGGTTTAGAAAGATCTAGAGGACACGCTTAAACTCGTCGAGTCACCTATGTGCACTAGACGAGTCTGGTCAAAGTTTGACCATTGACTACAGTTGACTTTCGTTGACTTTTAGGGTTGGGTCAACACTCGAACTTTCGGACCATTAGAAGGGTAAAATGGTCTTTTAGCCTTCTGAGAGAACATTAGAATGGACTAGTCTAGCCTGGAGAGCCGTTATTGATTTGAGATGATTGCTTATGTGTTTAGGCGGGGCTAGATCACTATTACGAGGATCAGGGATACCGAGCATGTGAGTTACTAGACAGTATACGAGGTGAGTCTTCTCACTATACTTTACCTAGAGTGGTAACTATGTGTGATAGGAAGGTCTTATATGCGATGTGTAGTATGTGATATGTGTTGCTATGTGATATGTATGTGTTATGCTATGTTATGAGTACCATGATATGGACCGGAAAGTCAACAGTGTATGGACCGGAAGGTCAAGATGATGAGGACCGGAAGGTCATACGAGTAGGGTCGGAAGGTCTATCAGAGTTGGGATAGAAGTCCCTTGAGACACATGGATCGGAAGATCCCATAGAGTTATGGCCTTGAGTGGCGCATGTGTTGTATGTGGTATTTTGGGGAACTCACTAAGCATTTATGCTTAAAGTGTTATGTGTTATGTGCTTCAAGTACCAACGATGATCGCGGGAAGGTGCCAGCATGATCCATACACACTAGTAGAAGATCTATTTTATGATCTTGGGATATGTTTCATCATGATGGCATTTGTTAAATTTGAGATTTGATAATATTGAATGAGTTTTATGATATTTGAAAAATGAAAATTTGTTTTGAAAATGCACATTGTTACAAGTTGGTATCAGAGCCTTGGTTTGAGGGATTCGGATGCACCTTCGGGAGTACCTGAACTCAAACTGAGGATTTGAGAAAGTTTTCATACAAGAAACAATTTTTCCAAAAAGTAAAAGAATTTGAGAAAGCATAAAGAAGTAGTGTGTACGATCAATCAGCGTCTGAACGGTGATTTCCCAAAATACCCGTACGTTATGTGTTATGAGATATGATATGATATGCTAGAGTAGGCTAGGTATTCACATTAGGAATAGAGCGGCCTGATTTGTGATGCCTTAACCTAGGAGATTACTGCTGCTATGAGATGCTTAAGAGTGAGTAGGTAGCAATGAGGAGCTTATGAGGGGCCTGCCGAAGGGTATCCGGTGCTTAGTGAGAAGTAGAGTACTTGTGATCTAGGATACTAGGAGGAGGACTTGGGGTGATTACTGGTGCGGTGTGGACAGTAGTATAGGGATCGTATTACTGAAAACACCAGATCAGTGCGTAATCCAAGTAAGAATCCTTAGGGTATTAAGGAACAAAGAGGGATGGGTTAAAACACCAGAGATGTTTGGGTCTATCAAGACCACTTTGATTGAGATGTTTTGTCACACCCCCAAACCAAGGATTGCGGAATGTCCGGGGGCGGAGGACTTCATGTATAGTATCATAACCACAATTGCAATAGTAATTTAAGCAAACACAACCAACATATATATAATTGAAAGAGTTACATTATTGTATGAGTTACATGTTTCCAAATTAGTTACAATATGTTAACAAAACATGAATTGTTGACGCCTTAACGTCCCATCCTCAAAATGCACTTTGATACCTGTTTAGTGATTTCCTGAGAATACAAGTTGTTTGAAAAAGTGTCATCACAAAGGTTGGTGAGTTCATAAGCTTTTGTTTTCAAACTTGATAAAAGTCTTTCTCTTGTAAATGTCACGTTTGTTTCAGAAAAATCCGATATTTTCCTTAAAATTTATGTAATGTAGTCTTATAACAGAAGGCCAAAATGTATAAGTAACCTCTCTTACTAAGAGAAAATGATATGTGTTTAAATCAACATAAACACGTTTGAATTAAATGAAATTCCCATAAATTCTTATGTTTGTTAATACTTTCCGTGAGTTCATTATAACCATGCTATGACCTAGTTGGCCTGAAACGACGTTCTTCAGGCGTCGGAAATGTTTATGACATTTGCCACCCCAGACCTGACGGTCTAACTGTTGCATGCAGTTAAGGTGTGGGTTTGTCAAACCCAATATAGATCTATATACACCTATCACGCTCTCCCTCCAGGAGACTCTGGTTACAATACATGACTTAATGGTAAGTGTGAAGCGAATGTCTCACAAAGTTTTTAACAAATTTACGTGTAATGTAATGAAAATCCCTTAATGTATAAATGTACAATTTTTGTATGAGTGTGTTATGTAATGTATCATAAACCATACCTATTATAGTTTATCAAAACAAGGGTAGTAATGGTAACGTACATAAACTATATTCAACGTAGTTTGTTCAATTGTTTGAGTAAAATGGATGTATTTTGATTATAACAATCGTGTTATCCTTTATATTTCGTATGTATATCTATATCAAAATCCATTTATTAACTGATGCATGTTCATATACCAAGATAAAATATCATTCATTTGTAATAACATACATTCACATAAGGATATACACCTTGCTCAACATGTTACAAGGTGATAATGATATGTTAGCATTTTTCTGTTAGCAACAACTTCGATCACTGTTATTAGAAAATTCATAAAAACTTCATAAAAGATCCAAATCAGAATCCGTAAATTCTAGGAGTTTGGTTAATGAGTCTAGTTTGTTCATAAATTTTTCCAGGATTTTTAGTGACCTCCAACTTAGGTGAAAATGTCCCTAAACACAGACTGGTCCGGATTGGTTCTTGAAATGATAGGTAGTTTTGCAAAAATCACCTTAAATTGTAGAAAAATAGTATGGAGATGTACAAGTAGCCATTTTAAATGTTGTGCAGTTTTCAA